CAGTCCTTCTTCCTGTTCTGCTTCCTGCTCTGTCTCTGGTGAATTCTCTCACCCCGTGTCTCTGGCTTGTACCCCAGTGCTTGTATAAATAAACAAAATTTTAAAGTGTTAAAAAAAAAAGAATAAATCAGGGCCTCCCTGGTGGCGCAAGGGGTTAAGCGTCAGCACTATGAAGCAATCTGCGACCACTGCGGCACAAGTTCAATCCCCCACTGATCAGGGAGCTATCCACATGACACAGCAGACCTCTCCTATCTTGCCCGCTGCTCCCCTCAGCAGCATATTTCAGTACGTCTGCCTGTTCTGCTCCCCACTCTGTCTCTGGTGAATCCTCTCACCCCCTGTACCTCTGGCCTGTACCCTAGCACTTGGTATGCATAAATAAATAAATCTTTAAAAATAAATAAATAAGGCCTCTCTGGTGGCGCAAGGGATTAAGCACCACACTATGAAGCAATCTGCAGCCTCTGCAACATGAGTTTGATCCCCAGCCAGCCAGGGATCAACCCACATGGTGCAGCACACCTCTCCTGTCTCACCCGCTGCTCCCCTCAGCAGTGTATTTCAGTCAGTCTGCCTGTTCTGTTCTCCTGTCTGTCTCTGGTGAATCCCCTCACACCCCCACATCTCTGGCCGGTACCCCAGCTCTTGTATGCATAAATAAATAAATCTTTAAAATAAATAAATAAATAAATTGGGAAAAAATGAAAGAATGAACCAGGTGTATAGCCACTGAGCTGCTGTGTCCCATGAACTCTCCGAGTATGTGAGCAGAGCAAGCTGCAGGGAAATGGGTAGAGTGTGGCACATGTGTTTTTCAGCCAAAACGAACAGCTCCTACAAACGTATTCATGATTGAAGATGAATCTATGCACCCACAGAAGCTCGAGCAGACTCTTTGGGCTTGGTTTGGGCATACCTGGTAGGATGGGGGCAGGAGGTGGGGGGTAGGGAGAGGTAACAAAGGGGTAAGAATCTGTAGCTATTTTCCTCTCTCAGTGGACATAGTTACCTGGAAACAAACCTCTGAACCTTGAGTGTCCCCTCTCTGCCACCTTTTGGAGGCTCCACAAAGGCTCTCGTGTCCCTGTCACATCCTCCTCATGCCTCAGTCTCACCCCAGTACTCCCTGGTACACAGAGATGGTGGATAAGGAGGGAGTAAATTTGCCTAAAGTGCCCAAGACACTGAAGGAAAAAGAGAGTGAGACTCTAATTGTTTTTGACATTGTTCAATGTTAATTAAATTCTCTCTGGGGCCTCCCCTGGTGGCGCAGGCGGTTGAGCGCAGCGCTGTGAAGTTGTACGAAGCCTCTGCAGTGTGGGTTCGATCCCGGCCGGCCAGCGAGGGTCCCACATGGTGCGGCAGACCTCTCCTGTCACGCCCACTGCTCCCCTCAGCAGTGTATTTCGTCAGTCTGCCTGTTCTGTTCCCCGCTCTGTCTCTGGTGAATCCTCTCACCCTCCCACACATCTGGCCTGTACCCCGGTTCTTATATAAACAAACAAACAAACAAACAAATAAATAAATAAATCCTCTCTGAAAAACTGAAGCTTAAAAGCCTGAGGCTGGGCCTGGCCCTGGCACCACGTCACACCTGAGCCTCTGTGAATGAGGAGTTTGCAAGCCCAAGAGCTGGTCACTGTCGTGACTCAGGAAGGGGTGCCTGCACCACATGGATCATGTCCCCCAATTACATCACAGAACAAGGACAGAAGGAAGTGGCAGGTTTGGAGGCAAGTGCTGGACTTCCTACAGACAGGCGTGGGTGGGCACTCAGCCTCTGGAAAAAACAGATAATACAGTTTCCACCGTGGAGTCAGATTCTCTGTGTACAGAGTTTAAAGTTACAGTCTATCATGCCATGTCTACTTGTCCAGTTTGTCCAAGGCACAAATATAAATGGATGAAGCCCATGCCAAACATGAGTCACTAACACTTGTGTAGCAGGGACTGGAGTTATCCTCTACCCTGACTGCAGTTTGAGCCACAGTGGAAGAGGCGAAAGGAAGGGAATGGAATCATTCTTGTGTTTCGGGAAATACTTGCACAAGCCTGTGGCAGGTCAAACCCACCCCCACACTGCCTTGTGGGGTGTGAGGGGCATTACCTAGGGAGAGTGGCTGTGAAGGAAAAGTAAAGTTGTTCTGCAAAGAGAAGAAATGGGAATGTGGGAGACTGCGACTGGTGCAGGAAACAGCGTGCTGGGAACCTGCGAGGAGAGTCTAGCTTTGAAGCATGTGTGTGGGCTTCCCCGGTGCCCTTCCTGGAGCAAACATAAGAACAAAATGGTGGTTGTAATAACAAATAAAAATGTTAAAATAGGAGGCTTCATTCTCCCCATTGAAGATAAGGGACTACTCCTTCCCTCCCTTTTAGTAGAAAGGGGAGCTGTCTTCAGAAAACGTGTTCTTTTTTCTGTGTCTCTAAAAAAACATGTACATCTTTTTAGTCGCTAACCAAGCCTCTGACCAGCTTTATGACCCAGGAATGTCTTTCCCAGGGACCTGGGAGTCTTTGAAATACAAACATCAAGGGAGATAGCACTCCCACTTGCCAGTTTCTGTGGGAGGGCGGGAGCCTAACTAAGGTGGGCACCTTGCTCTAAGTTGCAAAACTACCTCTTGCCATAAAGATCAGGAGCTTTGTTTCCCCCCTGTTTAACTCTGTTAGTAACACAGAGGGCCACCCATGAGCTCAGCAGCTGGGATGAAGCAGGTGAGGCAGATGGAGCTGCCAGTCTCTCTCTTGAGGACTAGCTATTGGCTGTGTTCAGAACGTGTGTTAGGGCTTGTACCTGTGTTTGACTACAGAAAAGGGCAAAATTTCTTGGGCTTCGAAATCTCTTCACGATTGCTTGTGACATGCATCACATTCTAGTTTAATGCTTATTGGACAATCAAACTGTTTCTTCCTCTACTATTTTTTGTGGAGAGGTTTTCTAGGTTGTGAAAATTTCTTTTTAATTATATATCCCCAATATAGTGCATGTACTTTAAAAGGAAAAAGAAAAAAAAAAATGTGGGAAGGAGGATCATAAGGAATAAGACCCCTCGTGGGAGGCTGGTGCCTTTGGAAGGATGTACAAAAACAATGTGTGGAGGAGAAAGGCAGAAAATTTTCCAGGAGTGAGGCTGACATTTCAGTTGGAAATTGTTTTCAGTCTGTAAAGAATAGAATAATAGCAACTAATATACAGAGGGATCAGGAACCTGGCATTTTCTAGCTGTTTTAAATGTATTAACTTATTTAGCATATATAATAGCTTGGATTATTGTTCTTAATTATTCATCCCACACACCTCAACCTTCCATGCACCCCACTCCTACACTGCCCAGTGACCGCTACACTACAGGGGGCAGAAAAAGTATCACAACACAACAGAGAAGGAGGCTGAAGTATGGGCTGATTTTGGAAACAGGTACAAAACAAATTCTCTTTTCTAGGCAAAAAATAACAGCATTGAAAGGCCACATCCAGCTACCACACAAAATGGAATGTGAGTCACTTTATTCGGATATTACTAAACAGAATCATCCCCCAAACTGAGGAACTTTGGACAGGCAAATGGGAGACACCCAGTCCTGAGCAAGAACATAGTGGGGTGGCGGGTGGGGGGGGTTCTCAAAGACAAGAAAGGGGAATGGCACCTAATAGGGATCAGACACTTAGTGAGGTTTGGAGGCTGGAAGGCAGGACTAGAACCCCTCTTATTCCCAACCTTATTCCCTCTTATAACCAATATACCAAGTCATTTGTGAGGGTCTGGCTCAAGAAAGCAGATTTACCTTGCCCTGACCCACCCCCTACCCAGGACAACAGACACATTCACTGTGAGCCAAATGCTTATAACCCACACCAAGATCTAGCTAGAGACCTGTAAGAGGCTTCATCTGATTCCTGGGTCAGTGACAAAGCCTGAACCCTGAATCACCCTTTTAATGTTTACAAAGCCCCCAACCAGCACTGGTCCCACAGCTGTTCCTGGGTTTCCTGCCCAGGAAATAGCTGGGGGTGGGGATGGGAATGGGCCAGAGGATGTTTAAGGACAAGGGGGAAGAAGTGGCACTTCATGCCTAATAACTGTTTCCACATAATTTTTGGGAGAAAATTGAATCCTGCCAGAAAGAGCTGGCATCAGGGACGGTAGGATGAGGCCAAATAAAAACGACCCTGGAATATACTGGTGGGGAAGTGGCTGCTTTCACCTGGAAAAAACAAAGTTCATGGGACAAGCCCATGTACACTGGTGACTCTATACTGCCCCCTAACGCCGGGGTCCCAAACAATTTCTGCTTCACTGTGAAGGTTGGACAAAAGTAGGCTTTCACTACCCTGCCGCGGTGAGGTCTCTCTGCGTATCTGGTGCACCCGGGTCTTAAGGCCAGGATGTCTGAATCAGGCCGAGGCAGAGGTGGGGGCGAGTCTTTGAACTGCTGCTTTTCCAGGTTCAAGGCAGCCTGGGCGCTTTGTCTGTGTTTCTAAGAACTGGGCTCAAATGCGGTCGCAATCAGCAGCTGAGTTACCGAGGCTAGAAATCCCGCGGAGCCCTGCGCAGCCTCCCAGTCGGCCTTCCATAAGTCGCCCTACTGCCTTTCCCCGTTTCCACCCAGAAAACTGGGAACTTTCTCCTCCATTTGGAAAAGACCCTCCCATTCTTCCTCCCAGCTCTCCAAAATGCCAGGAGTGTCCACATCTTTGGTCCCTCCAACCCCAAGTTGTGTGACCCCTAGGCCTCCCCCGGGAGGTCCAGAGAAGACCAGGAACGTCATCCTCTGGGTCTCCCCCAGACCAGGGTCCCTTTACCTCCCGGCAGCCCAACTCCGACATAGAGACGCGCTCCTTCCCCACAGCCGGCTCTACTGCCGGCAGGTTCGGGCTAGTCCGGGGCGGGGACTTGGGAGCGCCTAAAAGTGGAGAGGAGGGCGGGGCCGCAGACCCATCTTTAAAGGTCCAGAACTGGCCCTCGGGCGCCTAGACACTCGCCGGCGGCCCTGGGCGGTTCGGAGGATCGCACAGAACCCGGCTCCCCCTAGCCTGAGCAGCCTGGGGCCACTATGGGCCGCTACCGCATCCGCGTGGCCACCGGGGCCTCGCTCTACTCGGGGTCCCACAACCGCGTGCAGCTGTGGCTCGTCGGGGCGCGCGGGGAGGCGGAGCTGGAGCTGCAGCTGCGGCCGGCGCGGGGCCAGGTCAGCGGGCCGGAGCCGGGAGCCCCAGCCCGGTCGGGAGGGGCTCGCGACGGGGGGCTTCCGCCCTGGGGGCCGGCGAGGGCTGGGGGCCAGGCAAGAAACGGCGCCGCCTGGCCGCCCCGGCGGTCCCCGCCGGCGACTTGGGCTCCCGGGGCAGAGGCCGGGCGGCACCCAACCCTCCCCCGCCGCCCCCGCCCCGACCCTGGTCCTCTCAGCCTCCCCCTCCCAAGGGCGCCCGAGGCCTGACAGCGCAGGGTCCGGGGTAAACGGGACGCGCCTCGGGGAGCGCGGACGCGGCGACGGCTGTCGGCGGAGGATGGACGGTCGTGGCGATGCGCGCCCGGCCCTTCGGCACCTGCGGTCCGCGCCCCGCTCGCTCGGCCTCGCCGCGCGGGGTCCCGAGGAGCGGACGCGGGGCGCCGTCTCGGGGCACCTGGCCAAGCGAGACGCCCCAGAGCGGCCCGCCGCGCCCCGGCGCCACGCCACCCCTCAGCCCAGCCCCAGCCCCGGCCGGACGCCCCTCCTGCCCCGGAGGCTCACCGCCGGCTTCCGCGCCCCCAGGTGGAGGAGTTCGAGCGCCACGTCGCCGAGGACCTGGGGCCGCTGCAGTTCGTGAAGCTGCGCAAACACCACTCCCTGGTGGACGACGCGTGGTTCTGCGACCGCATCACCGTGCGGGGCCCGGGAGACAGCGCCGAGGCCGCCTTCCCGTGCTACCGCTGGGTGCAGGGCGAGGACGTGCTGAGCCTGCCCGAGGGCACCGGTGAGGGGCGGGGCGGGAACGGGGGTGCCAGGCCTCGCGGGAATAGGACTGAGGAAGGTCGGGAGGGACAAGACGAAAGTGGGGGTCAGCAGGTTTAGTGTGGGGATAGGATGGGGTGAGGGGGATAGTGATAAAATCCAAAGTTATATGTAAAATTCAAAAGGCTGCGAGCCAGGGAAGTAGAGACTGTCTTTGAAGGTGAGAAGTGGGAGGGGGCGTTGCTCCAATGAGGGAAAACTGAAAATCAGGGTAAAAGCAGAAAGATGTCTACATGACAGGATACAAATTAGGGCGAAAACAGGTGAACAGGCGGTGCTGGGCGTCCCTGAGAGGAGATAGCCACATTAGCAATAAATGACAACTCTGGAGAGGTCTGGGTGGAAGAACATGGAAGAAAACTTTGAGGAGGGGGTGAGGGAGGACAGCAAATACTGCATTTGCTCCCATGGGAAACAAGAAAAAAACCTGACAGCAAGGACAGCTAAAGATGGAAACATGAAATGTGACCCCTAGACAATTGACAAAAAGGACCAGTGCAGGAACAAGTAATAAACACCAACTCTGGTGGTAGGTCATAAGGAAAAAGGGAAGCCCATAAGGAAAAAGGGAAGCCAAGTGGAGAAAGCAAACACAGCTGTTTTTCAACAGCTGGGAGAAGGTTAAAGGTGTGGCATCTGAGGTTCAAGGCATGTGAAATGAACCAAAGCAATATACAGTAGACAAGGTGTGGGCATAATGGTGATTAAGCTTTTATCATCTTAATTAAGGTGATTGATGCACCCATAACTCTTGATATAGGATCAGGTAGGGGAAGATGAGTTAAGGGACAGGAAAGGGTAGCAAATAACAGATTTTTGTGTCAAGGCAGTAAATGAAGGCTGAGATAAATGAAACCAAAAGGGTAAAGTTGGCAAAAGTGGGGTAAATGTGTCTGGGGAATCCATCAATGCAGTCTGTGACAAAAGTCACAGATCATGACTGATCACATGGACTATGACTATGAAAGGAAGATGAGGACAAGCAGGGAGGGCACAGGACCACACAAAACTGCATGGCAAATCTTCTTGTCTCCCCAGCACGTCTGGCAGGGGACAATGCATTGGATATATTCCAGAAGCATCGAGAAAAGGAACTAAAGGAAAGACAACAAACATATTGGTGACCACCCATTCAGAGGCTCTCCCCTGTAGCCCTCCCCTTCCCTGCCCCTGTCCCCACCACTGACCCAGACAGCCCACTGAAGCCCTGTCCCCATCTCCTAGCTGGGCCACCTGGAAGGAAGGGTTACCCCTGACAATAGCTGCTGGCTCTACGGAGGATCTACCTCCAAATATGAGATTCCATGAGGAGAAGAGGCTGGACTTTGAATGGACACAGAAGGCAGGGTAAGAAAAATCCTGGAGCTCAGGGTGAAATAAGGGCTTGGAGATCCAAGAATGATAGTACACGGTGAGGGGCTGAGGAATTGACCCAGGTGTTCATGCCTCAACACCTATCCTAGGACTCTGGAGACTATCCTCAAGCGTGTTTATACCCTTCTGAGCCCCTGGAACCGTCTGGAGGATTTTGATCAGATCTTCTGGGGCCCGAAGAGTGCCCTAGCTGGTCAGTGGTTTCCCCAGGTCTTGATAAACCTCTTCATGCCCGTAGATGACCAAACATTACACTCCATAGAGCCCAATAATTCCTATCCAGATGAGACCTTATGGTGTCTCATCATCTCACAGAGGCCTTGAGATGAAAAGGCAAGGGCTGAATATGGGGTGGTCATGACAGAATCTCAGTGGTGGGGGAGGGACTAGAGGAGAGGGACATGCGGCCTAAGGTAAATATTCTCCTTCTACACTCCACCCTCAACCCCACAGAGATGGTCCATCAGCGCTGGCAGGATGATGAGATTTTCGGCTACCAGTTCCTCAACGGTGCCAACCCCATGATGTTGAGACGCTCCACCTCTCTGCCCTCCAGGCTGGTGCTGCCCCCTGGGATGGAGGAACTTCGGACTCAGTTAGAGAAAGAACTCCAGGTACCCCCTCCCTCCCTGCCTTGCTTTCTCCTTGTATGTGGGGAGAAGAAACAATAAGGGAAGGGACCAAGGATGAATAAGTAAAGGGAGAGTGTGGTAGCCACTGTGCCCGGGGGCAGTGTCCTGTCCTGGAACACCCAAAGATAAGGCATGTAGGAACATCTATAAGGAGCTCTCATATAGAAGGAGAAAAAGGATGGATTCCTAGAGCACAGAACGGGTCAGGGATGTTAGCAGGGATAATGACATTTCCTGGCTAATATCAGTGCTGTGGACACCAGTGTGCTGGGCCCGGAAAATGAAGAAAGCTCCATCCAGCTGGGGGATTGGAAGGTTCCCTGAAGGAGCCTGGGTTTAGAAGAGAGGAGCTGTGAGAAGGATGAGGCAGGAAAGGTGTGAGTATGTTCATGCCTTTGCTGGATTCAGTGATAGTGGTGGCTAAGGGAACAAACATATTGTTTGTTTCAGTGGAATATTTGGTAGAGGAGGTGATAGGATCAGGAAGTGAAAGCATTTGCTGAGTTGGTGGAGGCCAAACACGGAGAGTAGAGATCAGGGGAATCATGAGAATCATAGGAAAGGAGACTCGCTGTCTTGACAAAGCAATAGTTTCCAATGCTGGTAATGCAAACTGGAGCAGATCTGGTTCTAAACTAAGAATGGCTACCACATATCCCTGAGGAAGAGGCCCACCTCCCCAGGCTATCTCTTTAGAGTGAGATAAAATGCACCAGATGCTCTAGTTCTGCCAAGACTCTGGTATTGATACAGATAAACATCTTTAAACACCCCCACCCCTGCCCTGACCCTCTGGTGGTCGACTCTGATCTCGAGCTATACGTGAACTCCTTCCCCAGCAAGGCTCCCTGTTTGAGGCTGACTTCATCCTGCTCGATGGAATTCCAGCCAACGTGATCCGAGGAGAGAAGCAGTACCTGGCAGCTCCTCTCGTGATGCTGAAGATGGAATCTGATGGGAAACTGCTACCCATGGTCATCCAGGTGTGGTGCCGTGGGCGTCCTCCTGCCAATACTGTCCTCTGTCCACTCCAGCTTCCCCTGCCAAGGACCCAGCCCCCTGACTCGTGGCTCCCAAACTCCTTCCTCACACAATGGGACCTGTCCTTATGCCACAGTTTGCTCACAGCCTCGTTTCCCCTGACTCATCCAACTGGAAGGACTTGTTCAAGAGTCATAGGGCCTTTAGGAGTCTCATCCTATACCCAGTGGAACTAACTTCAGCCTGCATTAGAATCACCAGAAGGGCTTGTTAAAACAAAGGTTGCCTGGTCCCACCACCAGATTTTCTGATTCAGTAGGCCTGGGGCAGAGGCCAAGAATTTGCTAACAAGTTCCAAAGTGATGCTGATGCTGCTGTTTGGGAACACACCTTAAGAATCACTGCTTAGGGCCTCCCTGGTGGTACAGGGGTTAAGTCTCAGCGCTATCATCTCAATGGTCTGAGTTCAATCCCCAGCCAGGGAGGTGACCCACATGGAGCAGCAGAACTCTTCTGTCTCACCTGCAGCTCCCTGTAGCAGTGTATTTCAGTAGATCTGCCAGTTCTGCTCCCCACTGTCTCTGGTGAATCCTCTCACCCCCTGAACTTCTGGCCAACACCCCTGTTCTTCTATGCAAAAGTAAATAAATCTTTAAAAAAAAAATCACTACTTAATTTCTCAGTGGCCTCTGACTCTAACTATCCATCTTTTCTAGAATATCTTTTTCCCTATAGTTCTCAACAGTCAGTTCATGTGAACAGTCAATTAGCACACATATCCAGCTTCCCTTTTCCATTCTCCCATCCACACAGACACCATCATGTTTCTTCCAAAGCACTGTTAGGGCTTCCTTTCTGGACCCCTGCTTCTGACCCCTGCATTGAGGGCAACCACCAGGGCACTGGCAGGTGCCAAGTCTACCGAGGTCCTCGATCCTCCAACTAAGTTACAGCCTCCTGGAAGGAAAGTGTCTAATTTGGTTGGCTTCCTCCAGAATGGGAAGCATAATGTCATCTGTAAAGTAGGAGCTCAATACATGCTTAATTTTTTTTCCCCCAGATCCAGCCTCCCAGCCCTAGTCTCCCCATCCCAGCACTGTTCCTGCCCTCAGACCCCCCACTTGCTTGGCTCCTGGCAAAGTGCTGGGTCCGAAATTCAGATTTTCAACTGCACCAGCTGCATCATCATCTGCTGAGCACTCATCTGCTGGCTGAGGTCATTGCTGTCGCCACCATGAGGTGCCTCCCAGAGATGCACCCCATCTTCAAGGTACATCCTCTACCCTCCAGGTCCCACATCTCAGGGACAGGAAACCACCTGATATCATATGATATTGCAGTAGCAAAAAAATCTCTATAGCAATTTGTAAAAGGGGAGAAGAAAGGTTGATCCAATACCTCGAGACATGAATTTTAATTAAGTCACTTAACATTTCTTCAGGACATATTATAAAGGGACCCTCTAAAATTGTCAGATACCTGACAGCAATGGACCTGAATTACAGGCTATTGTTAGAAAAACAACTCTTGTTCTTGCCTTGGAAGATTTATTCTTTAGCCAGAAAGACCAAGTGATGCCTAAAAGAACCAACCAGAGAACATCTGGAACTGGAATTTGAAATCCCAAGAGACCACCTAAAGCATTATAGGACTGATAGAGAACCTTCCACCGCACGGGGGAGTCTAAGCAGGAACAGATCAAAAGACAAGAATAGCCAAGCAGGCTACTATACCTGCCCAGAAAAGAGGAAGGTAACCACACGCCTTAGCAAGGTGGCTGACAGAAATGAAAAAGGAAAAAATCAGAGTCTCAGTGAAGGGAAACAACAGTAGCCATGGCATGCTTGGGTGTGAAACTGGAGAGGGAACAGGCAGAGGTCCATGCTTTCCCAGCACCTGGGACCCAGCACGGTGGGAGTGCCACACTAGAAACACTTTCATTTTACAATTAGTTCAGTATCTATTGCTAGGCAGAAGGCAACAAAGTAAGACTTGTCCTTGCTTTAAAAAGTTCTCAAAATCTTAACACTTTAGATACAGGGAAGATGGCAGAGAAAGAACAAGTTTATGAACCCAAGCAACTGTCAGAAACATTTAGGACGGGAGAAGTCAGTTTAGAGACAAAGATGAGCTGTTTGGTTTTAAGCATGAAGTATTGGCAAGATATACGAGCGAACCCTGGTTGGGAGGACAAATGAATTGTTTACTTTGGGGGCCTCCTCTGGGGACTCCCCAAGGCAATATATTGTAACTGTGGCCTCTCTGAGTCTGGGGCAACAAACAAGATGGAGATCAGTGTGGTTAAGAAAATCTTGGGTTTTATTGATTTCACAGTGTCCGACTTCACCATATTGAATAGGATAAGCAGAGATTTACTTTACTGTCCCTGACAGCTCAGCCCTCTTCCTACCTGTCCTCACTCAGCACAACAGCTTCATCCCTTGGTCAATACCGGAGTTGCCATCAGGATAGCCAGGAGAGCTGTGCCTGTAAATGTCTCAAAGGTCAGCTGTGCAGGCTCTGGATTCAGACTGTGGGGGTCTGAATCCTGACCTCAGCACTTACCAGGTGCGCGCTCCATTATGGAGCTGTTAGTGGACAGAGTGACACAGCACAGCAGCATGATACAGGCTAAAAGGTACCAGTTAAAAAGTGACTAGTTCTTGCAAAGATCATTACTGTTATTAGGAGTCCTTGGGCCTCGGGTATCGTTTCTCTTCATGTGGACGTTCTAGTCACTCAGCATCTTTCATGAACTTTTGGAAAAGTTTCAGACCAATGTGAGCTGCTCTGATACCTTGAACATCAGCGTAGTTAGTTGGGTGCTGCCCTGCGTCCAGCATCAGCTCAGATCAATACCAACACCACAGGACACCTGAATATAAACTGGGTGGAAATGAAGACAAAACAGACTGAGATACAAAACCCAGCGATGAAAGGAACAGAGAATGGAGGGGTGGCTTTAGCAATGTGTGGAGAGGTTTATTTAGAAGACTGAATAGAAGTATCAAAGAAATGAAAAGGGGCTGATTCCTAAAGGATATCCACACTCAGCAAAAATAACTGAGAACAGCTGCTGTTCCTGTGTACTCTAAACACTCGACACCCTCATGTAAGCACCGGCACAGTGCCCTGAGATAAGAAACCCTGTTATCACCCTTGTTGACAAATGAGGTTAACACTTACAGGGGTTATTACTTTGGTCAGGTTTCAAAGCTCATGTCAAAGGGTGAACTAAAATCCTGGTCAGTCTGGCCACAGAGTGTGAATCAGAGGGGCAGTGAGGAAAGCATGGTAGTGAATGATCAGAGGCAGGGAAAGTAACAAAGGGAGAGAAGGCACACCCCCAAACACACACAGGAAGGGCCCAAGCATGGGCTCCATAAACCCCTCTCCATTCCCTCCATCCAGCTCCTGATCCCGCACATCCGCTACACCATGGAAATCAACACCAGGGCTCGGACACAACTCATTTCAGATGGAGGTATATTTGATAAGGTAAGGAGGGAATGGGGTGTGGGGCTGCTTAATCACCCAGTTATGTATGACCTCCTGCTACTTTCAAGATCCCAGACCAGCCTGTGTGATTGTTCTTAAAACCCATGAGTCCCCCCACCTTATCCCCATGTCTTTAAATGTGAAAAGCCCACACCTGAACTCCTTATATACTATGCCCGTGTTCTCCCCTCAAGACTGCTCATTTATCTTGACCCAGGCAATAAGCACAGGTGGAGGAGGCCATGTGCAGCTGCTCCGTCGGGCCTTGGCTCAGCTAACCTACCGCTCCCTCTGTCCTCCTGATAACCTGGCTGACCGGGGCCTGCTGGGAGTCCCAAGTGCTCTCTATGCCCACGATGCTTTACACCTCTGGGAGATCATTGCCCGGTGGGTGAGAGTGGGGCTGAGCAATGGAGAGGCCTGGGGGGAGGGCGAGCGGAGCTCTGGGCTGAGGTCAGTACAGGGCAAAATGAACATGAAAACTGCAGGGTCCAGACAGAAGAGCTGAGATTCGGTCCTGGGGATGGGAATGAGCAAGGAGTCAGTGAGTAGGGCATTAAAAGGAGAAGACTGGGGTAGGGGCAGAGAGCCTAGGTCTAGTCTCTGCGGTGAGGAGAGTGAGGGATCTCGTCTGCCAATCAAGAAATATGACCCATTCTTTGTTAGAAAAATTGACTATCAACCTTGTATAGGGAATTCCTAGAACCAGTGACCTACATTCCCTTCCATTCTACACTAGTGTTCAAAAAGAGATGAGGAATGTCCCAAAAGACAAGTCTTAAAGGATCTGTATTCAGACAGTGAGAGCGAGCTGGGCAAAGGCCACAGGAAAGAGAAGTCTAGTCTCCGAGGCTCACGCCCTCCTCTGGACAGGTACGTCGAGGGGATCTGCCGTCTCTTCTACCCCGGGGATGATGTCGTGAGAGGGGACCCTGAGCTGCAGGCCTGGTGTCGGGAGATCACTGAAGTGGGGCTATGCCAGGCCCAGGACCGAGGTAGGACCCCTCCCCAGAGCTGGGAGTGCCTCAAAGACTCTGCCCAGAGCCCCATTTCAGCCCTGCTCTTCTGGGGACATGACCCCAACTCTTCACAAAACCCTCCTCTCCACAGATGAAGCATCTGAATGCCAGTCCTGCCTCCTTAGACAATTCTTGATATCCAAAGATTGTCCTCCTCCCAGACCTTGGCACTCAACCTTTCCTTCTGTCCCCCATCCCCATTGCAAGGGGCCCAATAAGGCCAGAGCCATGGCCAGTGAGGGATCTGCCCAGTCCTTGCATGATATCAAGTTCTCTCCTCATGGTTGCCTAATTTCCTACCTAAATGGGAAAAAATTTCCACCAAAGCCTATAGTGTCCCACCCTGGCTTTCCCTCTCTTCTCCTCTTGCTTGGTACACAGAGTCCTGGGCACACTGCACACTTGCCACAATGCAAGGGCATGTCTAAGTGCAAACTCAATACTGTATATGCTTTGCTTCAAACCCAGGCTCAGAGTCCTGCCCTTGGGGCTCACATTTCTTTGGCCAATCCAGTCTTCCCCACCCCTACCCCTGTCCATTAGGATCTAGCCACTACCTTTAATGCCCTGTCTACCCACCACCTATATCCTTTTTTCCTCCAGCAACATTTTATACTTGATCTTGGCCAAGAGGCCAAGAAGCAACCCCCACCAACATTTAAACTCTGGGAAAGAAATATCCTTTCCTGAGCTTTTCTAGGTTGTTCCTTTTCTCGCTGACACATGTGGGCCAGCCTAGACTGCTTCAAATCATCTTTCAGTCCGTTCCTTCCACTTTTCACCAACATCTCTGCCTGTGTGGGGTAACATTTACTGGGAAACCATTATGGCCAGGCCCTAGGGATAGGGGAGCAATAAACCCACACGCAGGAGGAAGCCTACCCCTGGGGACTGTGGCTGCACTACCCTGCCCTTCCAGGACCAAATAGTAGCTCTCAATACTGCACAGGCTGCACTTGCCTCAGGCTGCACATGCCTCAGGCTGCACATGCCACCCCCCCCTCACCAAAAGACATTTCTTCCTCCCCCTGGTCATCTTTCCCCCAAATAGTATTTACATTCAGAAAAAAATTTTTTTTTAAATTCACAGTAGCTTTCGCCTCTGCTATTACTCTCCCTTCCTAAGATCTCACAGCTCACCTTTGCCTAATTTTCCCAACAGATTTTGTGCTACAGTTAAAAAAAAACAAAAAACAAAATGGGATGAACTTCCCTAGTCGCCTAGGGGTTGAGTCTCAGCGCTATCACCTCAAGGGTCTGAATTTGATCCCCAGCCAAGGAGATGACACAGCAGCCCTCTCCTGTCTCGCCTACTGCTCAGCAGTGTATTTCAGTAGATCTGCCTGTTCTGTTCCCCACTCTGTCTCTGGTGAATCCTCTCATTCCCCTGCACCTCTGGCCTATACCCCAGCTCTTCTACACATAAAAAGATAGACAGATAGATAGATCGATAGATAGATAGATCTTTAAAACAACTATATCAGAGTTGGGATTAACGGCCAGAAACCCAAGTTTAAGGTCAACCTCTGCCTTTTCCCAACTCTGAGATCCTGACAAGCAATTTAATCTCTGGTCTTACCTTTTTTTAAATCTATAAAATGAGAGTAATTATATTTGTTCTACTTAATTAGTAACATTAATGGGGTCTCTGAGCCCCCACCTCCACTGTAAAATGAGTGGCCTGAGGTAACCCTTGTGGGAAGCCTCACTTGGCTGTGACACTAGAAATCTATGACTTTCTGTCATTCCTCACCTTACAACTCAGACACTTGTCATTTCCAGTCCTGGAATAGAAGGAAGCATCCCTAAATTCTTAACCACTTTTTGAGGTAAAGGATCTTTGATGATGCAATCTTTTTAGCTCCTGGCCCCTCCATAACAATAACATTTATCGAATTTTTGTCACATACCAGATGACTTCTATACATTATCTTATTGAAAAGATAGGTTAATTCACATTCACAGAAACTGAGATTCAGAGAGGTTAAATGCTTGGTCTAATGTAAACAAACTATATTGTTTGAGCTTTTATTGAAACTCATGTCTGATGCATACTTGAATAAAAGAACAAATGAACAAATACTCATCAACTTTAAAATACAGACACCCCTGTTAGTCTTTATTTCTCTCCTCTTATGTCATAACTTCTAAATCCTATTTCTTTTCTGCATAGGTTTTCCCATCTCCTTCCAGTCCCAGAAGCAACTCTGCCATTTCCTTACCATGTGTGTCTTCACATGCACTGTCCAGCACTCGGCCGTCAACCAGGGTCAGGTATGGACAACTGAAAGCTTAAGTCCTTGAAGGCAAGGGTCTGGACCATGGACTGCCCCAGGGAAAAGGGGATCCAAACCCCGTGTATCAGGATCCTAGGGTTGCAGTTTCTTCCCACAGCTGGACTGGTATGCCTGGGTTCCTAATGCCCCGTGCACAATGCGGATGCCCCCACCTACCACCAAAGATGTGACCATGGCCACAGTGATGGGGTCACTACCTGATGTCCAGCAGTCCTGTCTTCAAATGACCATCACGTGGCATCTGGGTCGCCGCCAGCCAGACATGGTAAGAGAGGCCTCTGGAAAAAAGGGAAATGACAGCTAGGAAAAAAATGACAGAATGGCTGGGTTCCAGGTATTTCTGCCTGTAGAAAATAAACTAAGTGATGCTTTTGTTCTTTCTCAGGTGCCTCTGGGGCATCACAAAGAAAAGTATTTCTCAGGCCCCAAGGTCAAGGCTATACTAAAGCAATTGCAAATGGATTTGGAAAACCTCGAAAGGGAGATCACAGCCCGGAATAAGCAACTTGACATACCCTATGAATACATGAAGCCCAGCCACATAGAGAACAGTGTCACTATCTGAACCCTAAAGTGCTCCGACCTGGAAGACCTCAGATCAGCTCTAGAATTGACACTTTGATCTTGAATTTTTTGGTTTCCTAATCTCTGCTGCTGTCGCTCTCTTTCCTCCCCCCCCCTCCCCCCTGACTAAACCACCTTTATCAGCATCCCGCTAGCCCAGGAGGCAGAAATCCCTTTTGGCAAAGAGCCAGATAATAAATACTTTAGGCTCTGTAGGCCACACAGTCTCTCATAACTGCTCAACTCTCCTGCTATAACGCAAAAGCAGCTACAGAAAATATGTAAATTAATGTTTCAATAAAAATTTATTTATGATTGTGAACTATGAACCTGTCGCAAAATATTCTTTCAATTTAGTCAGTCATATAAAAATGCCAAAAAAAAAAAAAAAAAAAAAAACCTTTGCTTTAAGGACATGAGCAGCGTGTGGGCTGGATTTGGCCCTCAGTGGCAGTACCTGCAAGAGGGTATCCTGTATTGGCCTGAGGGACTGACTCTATTCCCAAAACCTCCAGAGAATGCTGAGCAGGGGGCCCTCCCCTGTGGCGCAGCTGCTAAAATACTGTGCTGGTTCGATTCCCGGCCGGCCAGGGAGAGTCCCACATGGCGCAGCAGACCTCTCCTGTCTTGACTGCTGGTCCCCTCAGCAGTGCCTTTGGCCCATCTGCCTGTTCTGCTCTGGGGTCTGTCTCTGGTGAATCCTCTCACCCTCCCACGCCTCTGGCCTGCACCCCAGCTCCTGTATAAATAAATAAACCTTAAAAAAAAAAAATGCTGAGCAGGGGAAGAGATTACGTGGAGATTATAATTACTGCAACTAATTTTCCTTGCCCAGGAGCTAGACCTCATGCTTGATGGCCAACTTAAAAATTCACAATTCTGTTCTTTGGCAACTTTCCCTACCACATACCTATTTTTCCTATTCACACACATACCCCAAAAGTCCCTGAGTAAGAATGGTGTTTTTAAAACAATAAAAGCCTTCAAAATAGCTTCCTTTCCTAGTCTCAAACTATGTAAAGTTCATGTTTCAAGGTCACTTTTCCAGCCCCTTTACTACTTTGGGGTGTCTCCATGTTTTCCAAGTTCTTATACACAACCCTTCCTGGAAAAATACACACAAAATGAATAGAAAATTACGCAGTTATTCTAGCCACTGACAGTGTTTCTCTCTGGCTGAGGTGTTGGAATTAAATGACCCCTCTCAATTGCGATATGATCAATGTCCTTACTAGAATGGGCACAACAAGCTCACTGCAAAATTGTATTCTTCAAACAACCCCAGTTCCCAGAATAACTATTACACATCAGTCTCTCACCAATGAAGTACCCAATTTTTTTTTTTTGAGAAGATAAGCTTTCATATTTTTTGAAGCATATACCCTACTTTATTCAAAGGACTATAATCTGTTTCCTTAGTTTACAGTAGGGAAGCAGTGGCTTTTTTTTACACTTATTCCTTTCTCCAGTACATTTATAAGGACCACTCACCTTCACACCTTGTTCAGTGAGTCTGCTTCTCCAGGACTTTAACTGTGCATATTTTTCCTAGATTTGACAGCCAAACTTATTCAGTATTTTAAGTTTAATAGCAAAATGTTCCTCAAGTATTTCCAAAGCCCAAAACCCATAGCAATTTTAAAATATTCTGGCTACAACAGCATACTGGGCCTTGGGAAGAGAATCCTATCTCCTTTTACTGTGTCAGAGTATTTTCTTTAAAGAAATGAGTGGAGAGGAGACAGAGATATTCTCTCCTGGGGTAATTCTCTAAGTTTCACTTACCATTTCCCCATCGCTGGACACTACCCGAAACTAAGGTATTTGCGAGAGGGGGAGTGAGATGGTTCCTATCCTCTGCTCCCAAAAAAGCACAGCGCCAAAAAACACCAGCAGATCCTCCAGGTCCGGCTAGTGCCTGTTCCCCGTCACGTGACTTGCCGGTTGGTCACGTGACACGATGGCTTCCTCCATTCCAACCTGGAAAGGCGGAGACAAGGAAATGGAGGCCCTCGCTACCGCAATACTCACGCCCAAATACAAAGATCAGTGAGAGAGTTCCAGAGGAACTGCTTCGGTTTCAGATACCTCCTTCTCCCACCCAAGTCCCAACAGGACCCGGAGGCGTCCAGCGTTCTCTACCTGGGGCCTCCCCTCTACCCCCAACACAATGGTTGGGTCCAGAGGCCCCGCCCCCTCGGCAGCCCTTGGCGCTCTCAGTCCTCAGCCCTGCGAGCCCGTAAATCCAATTCGCTCATCCCGGGAGGACCCGGGCCTTCCTGTCACCGTTTTTCCATTCTACCCACATCTGGGCGATCCCCCGACTTTCTTCTCCATGGCGTCGCTTCTGTGCTGTGGGCCCAAACTGGCCGCCTGCGGTATCGTCCTCAGCGCCTGGGGAGTGATCATGTTGGTGAGGGGACTGCCCGGCGAGAACCGGAGAGGGCCGGAGGGGCTTGGGCGTTGGAGGGCTGGAAGGCTAGCAGACTCCAGGCCTTAGAAAGCAGTAGGCAGGTTGGAGGGGCTGGTGATTGCCGCTGGAGAACGAGACAGATCTGATATTAAGAAATGGGGAACTAGAACGGGGCGGAAGGGACGAAGGTGGTGCTGGGGCCTGAAACTGGATTCTGGGCTTGTAAATATGAAGGTCCCACCTCCATGCCCAACGTACGAGGAAGAGGAGCTGGGTTCTTGAGAGATGCTTGAGCTGCATGGAAGGCAGGGGGGAAGTGAGGGACGTGTTCCCGAAATGGGTAGCTGAGGCCTCGTTTCCCCGGGACTCTATCGGCTCCCACTCCAGCAAGAAATAATATTAAGTGCCGACCTCTCTGACTCCTTCCGCCATGTCCCGTGATAACCACGCTTCTGGAGCGGAGGCTAATCTGGATTCCTCAATTTCTCACTATTCCTGCCCTTGCCGTGTCGTTTCTTTGTCATCACCTCACGCCTTATTCCAGGTGACTGAGTCCGAATCCAGCAACAACCACCCCAATCCCAGTTCATTCTGGTACTTCTTAAGTCCAGTTGTTGTGGCAACAGTATAAGAGGGAGTTGTTTAGGTAGTGACCTAGATTCACCTAGGTGACTAAGTTCAACAACCTACCAATCCCCCTTTTCAGATAATGCTTGGGATCTTTTTCAATGTCCATTCCGCTGTACTAATTGAGGACGTCCCCTTCACGGAGAAAGATTTTGAGTGAGTATGCAGGTGGGGAGGCATATGCTGAGGACAAGTGGCAAGTCACCGCATCTTGGTGGGAATTTTGAGCACGAAGTTACAGAAGGCTGAAAGCCTGGGGCCCGCCGTGGCTAAGGAACTGGGTACAGAGAGCTGCTCTATTTACCATAATTAGGCGCGGTCTTGGGAGTCAGACCTCAGCAATCCTCCTAAATCCACAGCTTTAGGTGCGTCCTCTAAGGTATTTGACTTCTCAGTGCCACAATCCACCTCTGCAAAGTGGATTCTATAACAGAACTCAGAGCCCCACAGGGGTGTGAATATTAGTAAACGTGCTTAGTAAATGATGGCTCAGTAAACGATGGCTGCTGTTTAATGTTTCTGACACTTCTCTGCCTAATTCCCGCCCCTTAGGAATGGCCCCAAGAGCATATACGACCTTTACGAGCAAGTCAGCTACAACTGTTTCATCGCCGCGGGCCTTTACCTCCTCCTCGGAGGCTTCTCTTTTTGCCAAGTTCGACTCAATAAGCGCAAGGAATACATGGTGCGCTAGAGCATGGTCACGTTTTCCCTCTTCAGTCCCTTCCTCTATTTAAAGACTCCCCACCCTCACTGTCCCTAACCCCAACTCCGCGGGACTGGATTTCCCTGGCGAGAGACTGAATCCCTATTCTCCACTCTGACACCGACCCCGGGAAGGAGGCTGGGGCCTTGTCCGGTACCACAATAAAGAGATACTGCTCTCTTAAGTCTTGTGTCAGTGCTTGAAGGGGAAGGGGGGTCGGGTCGAGGCTTGGAAATCCGCCCCGTAACCGGGAGACTCGACCCCTGGACGGAAGTGGAGTGAAGCCGGGCCGGAAGTGAGGCGGTTTCTTCCACTCATTCCTAGTGTGCGCGGAGGCGGCTTCGGTGACTGCGACTGGCGAGGCTGTGCGCGGCCGAGCTTGAGCCAATCAGCTGCGAGGAGGGGCGGGACTTCCTGCGCGGGAGTCGGAGTGGTTCTGTCGCCTGGCTCTCCGTGGTCCCGGCTCGCGTGGTGGCGGCGGCGGCAGCGTCTCCGTGAGGAGGCGCGCGGGGACATGACGTCAGCGTCCACAAAGGTTCGACCTCCCTCGCGGACAGCGCTCCCTGGCGGCCACGGGAGAGCGGGCCCCCCCGGTTGGCTCCCGGCTCTTCCGCCCCGGGCGGGGGGCGGGCGGGAGCGGAGCCTGGGGTGGGGCTAGGGATTCCGGGCGGGACGGCGTGGGGGGTGTGCGCCGGCCCTCCCTTAATGCTGCTCCGCCCCCAGGTCGGAGAGATATTCTCCGCGGCTGGCGCCGCCTTCACGAAGCTCGGGGAGCTGACGATGCAGCTGCATCCCGTGGCCGACTCTTCCCCCGCGGGGTACGTGATCCCGGGCTGGGACGTGGAGGCTGAGAGCCGACGCTTGGACTCGATCACAGACATGGACACTTTCTAGGGCAGGGACAGATGTTAGTTTCCCCTTTTACCTGGTGCAGCAGAGTAGGTGTTAATAAATGATTGTTGAATGAATGAATGACATTGAGAACACTGGCTCACTGCACGGAATCATTAAACCGCTCTATCCTGCTGCGAACCAGCAGACCACAATCACTACTACCCAACCACCCCAAATCATATATGGAATTCCCTCAACTGCTGCAGCTATGTTCAGGGGTTCTGTTCATAAGACGCCCACTTGTTGAATTGGCTTCAGTGGACTGTTTACAGCAGCTGTTCCACGTTGATGGGGGAGGACTCGAAGGAAGGTGGTGGTAGTTGCAATATGATGTGGTTGAGTGTCCTCAGGGTTCCCACGGGGCCCTAAGAGTTTCTTTTTTCCTAGGGAAGACCTCTATGGATTCGTGGAAGGGACCCCAGAGATTGGGGGGAGGAGGCTGGTTGCTGTGGCATGCTTAGCCTTTGGGCTGGCTCCACACCTCTCCTTCCACTTTGCTATCCCCCTTTCCCCTCCTGACAGTGCCAAGTGGACGGAGACGGAGATAGAGATGCTGAGGGCTGCTGTGAAGCGATTTGGGGACGATCTTAATCACATCAGCTGTGTCATCAAGGAACGGACAGTGTGAGGGAGGGTTGGCTGGCAGAGAAAGGGGAGGGGGGTAGCTTTTTCCCTCCAAACCCATTGTTGCATCTTCCTCAGAAGTCCCCACTCAACATCTCTCTGTTGCTAGTTTTGTTAGCATCTCCTTGAGTGCTGAAAAACTATTTAATGGCCATAATTGGTAAGACGTAACCAAAATGCTATGGTAACAGAACCTTCCACTATCCTGGGTTGCCTGAGATAATCCTTTACTGTGATATGGGAGTTCCCTAGTTATTTATATAGATCTTTGGAGACCATAGCAGTGAGTCCAGGGATGCTGTGATTTTTTAATTAGCTGATCAGGATATACTAAGTTTCAGTCTGCCGGTAGAACACCAGTGTTTACCTGGTCGCCTTCCTTATCCATATATCTCTCCCCAAAGAGAATAAGGATGTGGGCTTTTCCCGCCACTCAGTTCAGGGACTCTACTCTTCACACTCCAACTGCTCTAAGTGAGTACAGAGCTTCAGGAAAAACAGTCCTATCAAAGGGGTAGGGCCCAAAGCTGGACTCTTATTAGAGGCTCCCCGGTATTCCTTCTGAGTGGTCCATTACTCCTGCCCCTCCCCTCCCTTCTTCCCTCAGCCTTTCCGAGGACTCGTTTCCTAACCTGGTATCCTCTCTTCAGGGCTCAGATAAAGGCCACCGTGAAGCGCAAGGTATATGAAGACTCTGGCATACCCCTTCCAGCTGAGTCACCCAAGAAAGGGCCCAAGAAGGTGGCATCTGGTGTCTTGTCACCGCCTCCAGCGGCCCCTCCACCCAGCAGCTCCAGTGTCCCTGAGGCTGGGGCCCCCCCCATAAAGAAACAGAAGGCTGGTGAGGCCTGTGGAGTTGCTGCCTAGGGGTCAGAGTCCTGTCTGAGGTTCAGTGAGACCATTGGATGTGGGTCAAAGGGCAGATCTCTTCTTCTATTAGTGAAGGTTCCCGAGGGGCTGGGGTGCAGGAGGGAGAGCTCAAAGCCTTGGGAGACTGGGGGGCAGTCAGGGAACCTAGAACCTAGCTTATGCCCCCTGCCCTCAGATGTGACACTCAGTGCTCTGAATGACTCGGACGGCAACAGTGACCTGGTGGATATTGAAGGACTAGGAGAAACTCCTCCAGCCAAGAAACTCAACTTCGACCAGGGTAGGAGTCCTCCTCCCCCTACACCAGCTAAAGGGGCAGGAGAAGCAGCGCTCACTTGGATGGAAAGGGAGGGTCTCGGCAGGACACACCACCCTGTACAGGGACTTTGGAAGAGAAGCTTCTCACACACAGTGCAGGCGGTCAGGTCAGGAGGGCGCGAATGCTTTGGGAAACGTACTTTGGGCTTGCTCCATCTCTGTGCCTTTTACTTCCTGTTCCAGACAGCCTGACCCTGGATTCTGGCCTTCTCGTGACCTCCACTGACCCTCCGCTACTCTCTCGATGAACCTTCCATCTCTGACCCCTCTCACAGTTCACCCTGGACCTGTGGATCGCCTGGGACTCTGAGCAAGGCCTGTGTGAGAGGGTCGAAAGGTTGCTGGGGCTGTCGTCCTCGCTGTTCCCTGTACGAGTGTCTACCGTCAAACCCATTGACTTCCATCTGATGGACATTTTTATACAGAAAACAATAAAGATTTCCCTCTCAGCTTGGTGCCTGCAGCCTAACATTACTGGAGTGCCTATGTGGTTCCCTCTCTCCCTCGCTTTCAGGGGCTCAGCCCCTTGTGGGCAGATCTCACCATCCTGCCTGGAGCAGCACAGCCAGTATTGGCAGACTCTCTTCCCAGTGCCAATATTTCTGTGCTGCTAGAGCCAGGGAAGCTGGGTATGGGCAGCAAAGAACCGACTTTGCTCTCTGGAGGCAGAACTTATTCCCAGGGACTCTGGCAATTCCTGAGATTACCCTGGGGGTTTTAGGGAGACCCAGTGTACTCACACCTCCCTCTGCCGCCACTCTGCAACCTTGCAAGAAGTTTGCCACAAGGCCCCAGATGTTTTTGTGCTGCTTCTGCAGGGTGGCCTGTCGGGGCCAAGGTTCATCGGTGCCTCCCCCACCCTCGCTCTAACACCACAGTGTGGTTTGGACGTGGCCACAGTGCCGTACAAACCACAGTGTGCTGCTGGGGCGGGAGCAGGACTTGGGTGGGTGGAGAGGAAGGGAGCACAAGACTGTTGTGGAGACCCCATCACCAAGGCAGACCAGGCTTAAAAGGCAAACATGACCCTGAGAAGGGTTGGGGGAAGTAAGAAACCAGGGCTAGAAGCTGAGCAGGAGGGAGAGGGGCCTATGAGGTGAGCCCTCAGTATAAGACCTAAACCATCTTCCTCTGTAGGAACTCCACTCAGGGAATCCCTAGGGTGGGGTGAGAGGCGGAGGAAATAGGGAATGACTGGGGGGGACCAACACTGCCTCCCGACTCAGCAAGGGCAGGGACCCACGACTTCCTGCTTTTGTTCCTCCCTCCCTGGGTCAGAACCCAAGAGAAAGCTAGGAGAGACAGAAGGCCAAGGACAGCAGAGTTGGGAGTTGGCAGTCCAGAGGTGGTGGGGCCGGAACATGGTTGGGAGAGGGGGGCCGGAAGTTGCCCTGGGCCCTGGGCCTGCCACAAGATGGAGGCCAAAGGCAGGAAATGGAGGCCAGGGGGAAAGGGGAGCAGCAGGACCCAAAGAGAGGGCCATCTGGACCTGGGGTCCAGGTAGTCAACTTCCAATACTGTTCCCACTGTCCTTGCCCCCAGGACCCAAGACCCACCCCGCTTGCAACAAGCCCCACCAGCCCATCCACCAGGCTGAGGAAGGTGGGCCCACCCCCAGAGAGCCACGTTGAAACTGAGACAAACATGCCTCTCCCCACCCCCACCCTAGGCCTTCCCTCAGCCTTTTTCTCCTGTCCAGGACTTAATTTTTTAAAAAATGCCCCCCCCCCAGAAAGCAAAATCCAAGGGCCAAAATCCTTTCTGCAAATCAAGATAATATCCTCTAAAACCCAAGAGTTATCCTCCCACTTCTACCACCACCCCCCTTCCGACACACCCCCAAAACTCTTAGCAATCAAATAGATGGTGGGTATAAGCAGTCTTTTTAGGCCCGGAGGAATGCCAGACCCCCTCCCTCCAGACCCCTATTTACCCTGCCAAGTCCTCTGCTCCTCATTCCACCCACCATAGCCCCCAAATTGAACAGCTGCCCCCAGCAACCATCCTCGGCAGAGCCTTTGTGGGGGTGAAACAAATCAAACACGATACTAACGACTGGTGATGTTGGGGGGCCCTCTGGACTCAGTCTTTGGTTTCCATCTGGGGGACTGCAGTTTAGGGGCATAAGATAAAGCCTTGCCAATCATCCCCCCACTTCCAAGGCTGACAAAGCCCAACCCCACCCCAACACGCACCTCCAAACCTCCCCCCCAACCGCCACGTCTCTCCTGAAAACAGGGGACACTTTCCTCCCGACTTACCTCAGCTACTCTCCCCTGAGATCCTGGTTCCCTATTTTGAAGGGAGCAAAATTTGGGGTTCAGCCCTCACATTTGGGGTGCAGGAGAAAGGAGCCACCCCAGTCGCACCGCTGGCCTCCTTCCTCTCGGCTGGCTCAGGGAGTGAGGAGTGCCCTAAGGATAGGGGACCCCCATAAGAGAACTCAGGAGGGGGTTCCTCCACTCCCAGTCAGAATTGGGGACACCCCCCA